CAGCATGCATGCATTTACTATCCCAAATGCCCGAATGAGCAGTCCCGAGCCTCAGTGGACCAACATGAATGTGGATTGGCTAGAGCAAACAAGTACGACAATGCCATCTCGAATATCCTACCTAGTTATCGTGTCTTCCTGCATTATCTTTTTCCCGTTTCTATCCGCTGCACACAGCCCATTCACTCATCTTGCACAGCACTATCTATCCACTCGCTAAAGAAGTATATCAGACAACCACCGTTGTCACTGTCGTGCAGTAGCCGCTCAGCGAAATAAAAAACTCATAGCCCTTCTTTGAATGACCACGATCATATCTTATTCCACAACACACTCGCTTCAATCCCACGTAACATAATCAGGAGAATAACAATCAAGTATTCTACGCGCATACTCCATACCTCCCCTCAGTCCTCGCAAAAACCCCGTCAATTCCGGACAGCTGCGATCCAAGTCAGCACCTGTACCAAAGCACCACACCACTCTTATATGTAGATGACGAGAGACTCTCCTATCACAAACAAGTACAGAAGAAACGAATCCAAAGACCGTCGCATCAGTCTCGGTTGGCTCTGCCCAATGACTAAAAGGCTTTCCACCACTCCACCACTATGATTATCATCTCCTATGTCCACCGAGGCAGCATTCGCGACTTCCCTCTGCCAGATAGAGAGGATTCTCGTTGATAGTACACCATATCTCCTTTCTGAAAGCGGATATTTCGGCTGCGGTGGATCGTCCAGTCTGCCCATAAAGCGTCTGCACTGTCCATCTATAGATCAGTAACCCGACTATCGGACTCGTAACAAGCACAGGGAACAGTGACAACAGTTCCATGCGATTTACTGTATACGCGTGGATTTCATGTTCAAAGAGATGCGACAAGTCTAAGTTGACAACAAGTTTGTAGTCGCTTGGTGGGAAGCAATTTCCGAGTGGGGCGAGACCTGCTTGACGCTAGATCGAGTGTAGAGAGTCGTGTGAGATGCCTGACTTCTGCGTCTAGAGATCCTACCGATGTGGCTTCTGTCATGTACAGTAAAGTACGCAGCTACATAAAGGCCACCCAAACTCAAAGCAAGGGACGAATTGCACAAGAGAGCGATCCCCCGCCCGGAACCACAACCACAACATCGACACAAGAAACCAGGAGAAATGCATTAAAAAGCATAAAACTCGATAACGACTCAGAAAACAAAATGTCCGAAACAATGACCGTGACGTCCATGACGGAGACACCGATACCAAATCCACCAGAACTGTCTCCACGTTTCGAGATCAGACGTCTGCGTGAAAAACACATCGCATAGGTTGCGGCGATAGCAGCGCATAGCAACATATTCTGCAATGCCTTCTGGACAGCCGTCTACCCTGTCAACGAAACCGCTCGGACTTACGCCTTTGCCAGAACAGCCGATTACCTAATCCGCCACCAGATCGAGTCGAATTTCAGTTTCGGCGTCTTTGACCTCGAATACGAGTACAAGTTCGCGTTATCGAAAAGGCGCAAGGCGCGCTATATTGGGATGAAAGTGGCAACCCGGACACGACATCAGAGGAACTGTTGCAGCAGATGGACCCCGTTGGTGTCGGTGGCGCTGGCGTATGATGCGGTTGATGAGTGGGATGTTCCGCGCATGATGCCGCTGGTGGCTGTTATTCCTCTTTTCTACACTGTGTTCAGGTATTGCCATGACAATGATGCTAGGGATCCGAGCGCGTATACTCCTACGGCGCCGAAGCAGTTCCTCATGCGTAATGCCACATCGACTCGTCAGTATTACGAAGGCCACGGATGTATGGGTGCATTGGCTAGATTCTTGATGCGAGAAGCGAAGAAGGAAGGGTTTAGAGGAATTGGTATCGAGGCTGCGCATGATGCTGTTGCGCATGTTTGGCTGAATCCTCCCGGGCCATTCAGAGGAGAGCTCATTTGTCAATTAGACCCGGAGACGTATGAAGAGGACAGAGAAGGAGAGGAGGGTGTCAAGTTCAAGCCATGTGCGCCTGCCAAGCAGGTTATCAAGAAGATCTGGGTGACTTTGTGATTGCGGTGTATGAGAAGAGTCGATACGGTCGACAATGAGCATGATGAATGATTCGAGAAAACCTCCTGTGTGTTTATATGAGACGGAATGTACGCACTCGGTGAGTGAGCAGCGAGCAGTCGATATGTCCATTGCTATAATGGAAGTGACCCACCTTATGTGAAGTAGTCACATAGCTAGTTCACGATATGGGAGATACAAGTTGTGAGCGAACACCGAGATCATGGCTTGAATATGCATTCAAAATAACAAGATCACATGGCATGTGACCTCATGCGAGCATATCGAGCCTTGATACAACAAAAACACGTACTAGACAAAGAACGTGTTGTCGAGTTGCGCTTTGGTAGTCATCAATACCAAGACAATGTATGTCACCGCTTGGTTTGATAATGATCGACTTGTTGCTGATCATGGTTCATTGAGGTCGTAAGGAATATTTCTCATTGGCGAGCGGGTCGAGAAGAGACATGGTAGACGTACAATCCCGACCTACGACAGACAGAGAGATGAAACGTCAGTCATCTGAGATGTATTGGGATAAAACGACAGCCATCTGAGATGTTGTTATGATGAAGGAGCAGACCCCAGACCCAGGCCTGTTTGGACCTAACCATTGATGGTTAGTCATCAGCTCAATAGGTAGTCAATTGCACAACAGCATAAAGAAGATGGGAAGTAATGTGTAAAGATGACCGCAGGATCCAGCGGCGACAATGTATTAAGGTAATAAAAAGGTTGGCAATAATACAGCGATGACCCGGTAGTGAAAATATTAAGATGAAAGGCCAAACGCCGGCGCTGCCGGGCGAATCAGCCCGAACAACTCAACACTTTGCATGGCCCGTGCGCGTTGACCTAAAATCCCTCATCTAGCTAGATCTGCAGTCGTGGGCAATGACTTTACCCTGTTAGTAACACGGCCAATTTGCGTGTTGCTGCCGTTCGTTGACTGGGCGTTCCACATAGCTCTCTCCCACCTCACATTCAATTCCTTCATAAAATAGATGTTCCGTAAGCTGGGCTTGTTGCTAGACCTCCTAAAGCAGGGCAGCAAGACCGAGGAAGAAGCTGGCAATACCGCCAATGGGGAGAACCTTGCCGGCTCCGCTGTCAGCTCCGTTATAGTCTGCAACGGTCGTACCGAGACCCTTTGATGTAGCAAGACCAGAGGTGGTGGTGACGGTGGTGGTGATTGTGTAGTATTGCTTCATGACGGCGTGGACGGGGTTCTCAGAGGTGTAGGTGGTGGTGTAGGTGCTCTTCTTGACATCAAGGACGGTAACGCGGCCGGTAGGAGTAGAGAAGCTCATCTGGTCGGACATGCCAGAGGTGGACTTGACGACCGACTCCTTCATGATGGTAGGCGAAACAGCGTTGTGGGTAGGGTTCTCGGTGATGTAGTAGTAAGTGGTGGTGTAGACACGGGTGGAGGTAGTCTCCTCGTCATCATCGCTAGAGGAGCTGGAGCTGGCGCTAGCAGCAGAGGCGGAAGAAGTGATGGAGGAGGCGGCAGAGGACGAGCTAGAGGCAGCCCTGCTAGATGAAGAAGATTCCGAGGCGCTGGAGCTCGAAGAAGCGGCGCTGGCACTGCTGGCGCTGGACGAGACGGACGAGGCCGAGGACGCAGAAGAAGAGTCGGACGACTGAGCGGCAACGACGGCTGCAAAGGCAGCAAGGAGGTAGGCCTGGAAACGCATCTTTCAAATGTTCGTCGTTGGTCGAATTGTCCGGAGGAAGGAGTGAGTGTGAGGTGGGCAGAGGTGGGCAAATCTTCTTCAAGGGTGCGACTTCCTTTTGATCTGCCCTTTATACGGCCGCTTTGACTTTGAGCTTTCTGTCACTGGCGCGAACGACCCGAGATAGCCGTCTCCGTCATATTTGACCCCAAGCTTGTCGGAAACCAAGACTCCACTTTGGGTAAGCTTGGCTTGATCGTCAGGTACACCATTGGTCAGCCCTACCTGCCGAAATTCGCGCATTGTAAAATACAACGTCCCGCCATTCGAAGGCCGGTATCTGTGCGCGAAACCCCTGTCAAGACGTACTACTGGCGCTGGTGCTGAAGCTGCTTCAAACCATGTTTATTTATTATTTTGGCCAGTGAATTGTGCCGACATTGCTTGCGGGTACCAACCGTTGTCTAAGCAATATTGTTAACACGAAGCGAATAACCAGCTTCGCAATTACATTCGACACTACTGTATAGGCAACAATGCTGCCTCTCAATCCTCTTCTTCCTGCACGCTCCAACCGAGGAGCACGGAGACGATGGTCAGTATGAGACCCTTGCAAGAAGAGACACGATGCCGAAACCCGTCCACATACGCCTGGCCGAGAGAATACGCGATTGACCGACTTCACTGGGGAAATTAGGACTGGGCACGCACTGTGCAGCCTCCGCCGTTGGATATTCGGCATCCACTGTTCCAACTGCCCTAGTTCCATCTCATCTTTCCATCTCCACGCTCCTTCACAGCATAAAAAGCATCGTGTGCAACAATCTCAAAGCCTGAGATTCAAGTGGTTTTGCCGGCAGCGTCTTGCAGGGATACGTACCTACCCAACCACTCTTTTCTTCTCCAGATTCTTGCCCCAACTTCGCAAAGCAAAAAACGGGCCGAAAGAAGTGGAAGTCAAAGCCGAGCTCTTGGTACGAGCGAAGCTCCGCTATTGCCGCTCGCTCCGTGCCATGGGGACATGTCCGATGGTCGCACGAGCGACGCGCGTGAAGCGACTCACACATGGACAAAAAGTAAAGTAGGAAAGGGTAGACATGACGTTGTAGTTGTACACTCTCTATCAATAATAGGGATGAATGATCAGCACTTCACCGCATCTGACGCTAAAAGTCGGTCGCTCTGTGTGGCACCAGAAGCATGATCGAGTCCACCCATGTCCAGCAAACTGCCAAAACGACGGACCTGGGAATCTAACCCAGACACTAGGACTTGAACCCTACCCGATTTGAACGGATGACCTTGAGGTCTGGAATCTCACGCGCTACCGCTGCGCCAAGGGTCCTGACCGATTTCTGATGTTCAGAAATGTGATTGTGCTGGGAAGCCAGAACGGGGTGACAATATATCGTCTTGACATTTTCAAGCTTCGAGCACCGCTGTAATGAATGTAAGCAACGGAGCGACATCTTACATCAGGACTGCGGAAAAAAAACGACATCGATAATTTTTATCGATATTCATCATTTTATTGACAGTTTCATCTACAAGCCAACTCGACGAGTCGAACCATCCAACTCCCGTCAATTTTAATTGAGGGAAAGGGTGCTGCCCAACTGTTCTAGCAACGCTGTCGCTATAGTTATACTAGCGTCGTCCCTAAAGGGACAGAGCGCTGCTACAGCAGTGTAGAGGAGAGCTAGGAACATTAGATAGAGCAAAGGGCTGATTCAGCCTATTTGCTCCCTTAATCTAAGTGACAATGCTATCTTTACAAAAGATATAATAAAATATCTTATTAAAAGAGCAGTAAACGCCTAAAATAATAAAATCAACGTTTAGAATAATATAATTAATGAACTGCTTAAGCAGATCTAGACTTAGAACGAAACTCTCTATTAGGAGAACATCACCCTATTAGCAATATTTAACGCTATTATAGAGAAAAATAATAAGCTTATAAAGAAAAATAATAAGCTTGAAAAAGAGCTTAAAGCAGTTAAAAGTAATATTAAAGTCCTTAATACTAAAATCAGAACTATTGGCATTAAGGTTAATAATAGCAGAACTATCCTTTTAAGCTTTAAATTATTAAGCTTATTATTAATAGCTGACTTTAATATAGCAGCCTTATTACTAACTATATACGCTTTTATAGCATTAAGATCTATCTACCTATTATTGTTAGCTATTTAATTTTATTTAGGTAGCAATATGCTATTAATTTTACCTACCTTTTTAAAGAAACTATACTAACTTTTAGGAATTACAATTGACTTTAGCTACTTAACGCTTAAATAACGCAAATTAGCTAAAAATAATAAAGCTATAAAGAAAAAAATCTAAAAAGCTATTATAGCCTAATTATCTATAAGCAATATTACTATTAAAAGAATCTAAATTAAAGTAAGAGCTATAAAAATCTTTATTTAAAATAAGAAAAATATAGCCTAACTGTAATTAAATAATAAATAAGTTTATTAAATATTTAAAATAGCCTGAACCTAAGAAGAGAACCTTTTCCTAATTAAAGTAAATAATGTATATAAAATAGCTATTCTAATATTTAATATTTATAAAATCTAATTAGAATTTGTAATAGCGTTTAATAATAAGAATAAATTTATAAGGGCTATTAAAGCGTTCTAGCTTTCTAAAAGAGAGAAACCTATAGGATTTATAGTAATCTACTTTATTATAGCAGAAGATGCTTAGAAAGCCCTTAATAAATATATAGTTAAAATTAATAATAATATAGCTATAATTAGCAAGTATTAGAAACTCTAACGCTCTTAGAAATGCTATAATTACAATATATATAGCTATTATTAAGCTAGGTATAGTTAGCTATTAAAGTATAGCAAATACGCTAAGAACTATAAAATAAATAATTATAAAGCTTTAATACTAAAATACATAGTATATAGAGAACTATATATTATAATAAATACTAGGTGCTTAGCTTACTATAATAAGGTTAATAGGATCCAAGGCAGAAGCTAACTTATTAACTAGTCTACCTAAAGCAGGGATAAGGAATAGCAGACAGTTACTAGCTAGCGTTCTAAAAGAGAAGTCACAATAAGCAATGTCTAATAGGAGACATCTGTTTCCTATTAGCAAATGTAAATAGACAATCCCTAGTCCAACTCAGCCTCCTTAATAATCAACCTATTAGTCAATTTGTAGTAATTATAATTATAAAGCTAAGTATTACTAATATTAGTAGTAAACTCTATATTTCCTAATATTAATGCTAGAATATTATAACTCTAACCACTTAATAAGAAGGATTAACACACTATGCTTTCTAGTTATTATTATATATTTATAAAAACATTTCATTTATCTAATTCCTTATATAGTTATTAAATATAATAGTAGGAGTTATTATTACTTTAATAAGTCACATTTTCATTATGTCAATCTATATTCTAGGTTATAGCTAGTACGCCTCCTCTAAGCAGGACTTAGAAGAGGCAATCACTATTAGGCTTATAGCGCTAAGTGACACTATTTATAAAGCTAAAGCAAAGCATAGGGAAAACCTCCTTATTATAGTTAAAAATAACTTCAATTGCTATAACCTAGTATAGGGAGGAATTAACGTATTATAATCCTAATACATAGGAGAAAGCGAACCAGTGCTCTAATAGATGCATTAATATAACACCTTTTTAGCTTTACTAAATAGTATAGTTATGTTCCCTAAGGGACGCTTTAGAACTACTATTAATCTTATACTAGTATTTAATATATTTAAGAGCTAGGTTATAGAGTGTAGCATCCACCTAACCTAGCATAGGTTGGGTTATAAAGCTATCAAAGCACTTAAAGGGTAAGAACTGTCAGTTGTCAATATAGATAATACTACCAAGCTTAATTAAGCAGTTATAGAGATTTAGAACACAGTAAGCTAGTATATTTGAGACTACAGCCTAACAGTTAAAGAATCCCTATATATAAAAGCGTAATAGGATAATAAGCTTACTAAGCTTTGCAATAAATACACTTAATAATAAAATTAGAATAATATATTATAAATTATAGGGCTAGATAAAGAAGAAAGTTGCTATAAAGCTAGATAAGCTAAGTATTAATTTTACAAAGGCATCTGCAATAAGAAGCAACTACACTAAAACAACTTTCTAGCATAGATAAACAATATTTGGAAAGCAGCTAGGTACCTTAACTCTCAATTATTAGTATTTAGCAACATCCCTATTATAATTATTAATATTAATAATTAAGAGGTGGAGCTTAAAAATAACAATGCTAAAATAACTAAGCTACTTTAATGCTTCTTTCTACTAGTTCTAAAGAGCTAGAAAAAGGAGGCGCCAAATCTTAATATAAAAAAGATAAACAACCTAGACATTTTAGTTAAAAAAGTAACTAAAGCAATAGCCAAGATTAGCCTATATAAAGCATTAGGCATAGATAGCATTCTAAACATTATATAGAAACGCTTATAATCTATTTTAAGCAATTAAGTTACTAATATTTTTAATATATTATACTAACTAGGATACATACTAGCTATATAGAAAATAGCGTAAATCTTACTATTATAAAAGCTAAGGAAACTGGATTACTAAATAGTAAAAGCATACTGCCCTATCTTTTTCTTAGCTATACTAAGCAAATTGATAAAGCTAATATTAGTAAAAAGAATATTATATTAAATAGAAACTTTCAACCTCTTTTTAGAAATATAATTTAAAGCTAAGCTACAATAATTATATAATTAAGCATTACTTTTTTTAATTAAAAAAATATTTAAAATATAGTAATAGAAGAAAGTTCTCTTTCTTATTAGCTTTAATATAAAAGGAGCATATAATAGTATCTTTTAATAAATGCTTATTAATTAGCTATATATAAAGGGAATACTAGCTTATATAGTAATATAGGTTAACTCCTTTTATATAGATTAACTAGCTATAATACTTATTAATAAAACAGAATTAAGCTAAGTTACCCTTATAGAGTCCAGTCTTCTATAAAGATCTATACTTACTCTAATTCTATATATTTTCTTTAACGCCTTCTTAATAAAAGAGAAGATTAATAAAAAATAAGAAAATATAGAATTTATAGATAACTATACATAATAAGCTATTTCAGATTTAGTTAAAAGAAATATATCAATACTTAATAATAAGGTTATCTTAAAGGCCCTCTAATAAATAAAAGATAATAGCACTATATTCTAAAATAATAAAATAGTTCTTATATATTTTATATAGAACTAGAGGAAGATTAGCAAAACTAACCCTTTATTAAAAGTAGGTAACTACGTAGTTAAGCCTTTAGTAAAAAAGAGGATTTTAAAAGTTATTTTTAATTCCAAACTGTAATTTAAGAATCACTTAGCCAAAGTCAAAACTAGAGGTTAGAAAAGCGTTAGCTAACTTAAGCGCCTTATTAGTATTAAACTGCAAGCTATATAATAACTCTACTAAGCTATTATAGCTTTAAAAACAGACTATATAGCTATAATATAGTACTCTTATTCTCTTAATAGGAAAATTAATAATAGCATTACTAGAATCCTTAATCTAATACAATAAATAGAAGCTTAAGCAGTAGTCAAATGCTTTTATATAATTTTAGTCAAAGCAGCTAGTATTAAAGCGTTGCTTCTCCTTCTATATATTTAATTATAATTAAAAATTAGCAAATTCTAAATAAAACTCTATATATTACTAGAATCTAATTTATTAAAAGCACAGCTTAGAAAACTAGTAAAGAAGCTTAGAACAAAGTCATTTATCTCCCCTCTTTACAATATAAAAACGCAGCTAGGCAAACTGGAAACAAATATTAGAACTATCTTAATACAGATAGCCCTATTATAAAATATAATAATAATTAACTAAAAGTCTAATTAATATAGTTCTAATAAAATATATAAAAACTACTTTAAAATAAAAAAACAATATCTGAATATCTTTATAAATAGTTTTATTACTAATAGATAAATAGAACTCAGAATAACAATATACTCTAAGAAATCTATATTATTGTTTACCCTTTCCTAACAGATTAAAGAGAGAGGCAATACTGATAGTACTATAATAGAACTAGTTGCAATTAAAGAAGCAGTAACCCTAGCTGGAATCCTATTAGAGACACTTTACAATTACAAAAGGATAATTCTACTAGTGTTAATATAGTCTAATAGTTAAATAGCTATTTAGATAATCAATTGCTAAGTTAGCTAAGGCAGAGCTATTATAGTATAAAGCATTCTATATATAATTAACTATTACGCAATCCTTAAAGGAAAACTAGCTATTTAATAGATTCTAAAGAAGTTTGCTATTATAAAATATATTAAAT